AACCACCACGCCCGGCTAATTTGTATTTTTAGTAGAGATGGGGTTTCACCATGTTGGCCAGGATGGTCTTGATCTCCTGACCTCGTGATCTGCCCACCTTGGCCTCCCAAAGTGCTGGGATTACAGGCGTGAGTCACCGTGCCTGGTGACAACTTTCAACTCAAACCCACAGACACACACACCCTCAAGTCTACTGGTCCTGTAGTTTTCACCATTCCAGTAAATGGCAGCTCTTTTCTTCTAGAAAAGAGCTTTTTTGGCCTTCCAAAGTGTTGGGATTACAGGTGTGAGCCACTGCGCCCGACGTACCAAATCCATTCTTTAAGCAAGTCATGCTGGCTCTGCATTCAAAATTTGTCTGATTATTTCCCAGTACCCCCACTGCTGCAACTGTAATTCAAATCACCATCTTCTCTTGCCTAGATTACAGTGGTACTGTTTTAATGAGCTATTCCACTTTGCTACTTACAGTCTCTTGTGTACACGGCAACCAGATGATCCTTTGTATACGTCACATCAGGTTACTCTCCTGCTCAGAATCCTCCAGTTGCTTCCCAGTGTATTTCAGAGTCTTTTCCCTGGCCTATAAGGCTCTAGATACTTGGCACCTTCCACAAGTATCTCATTAAACCACCCTTCCCCTTCTCACTGTATCACACTGGCCTTCCCGATGTTCTTCAAACAAGCCAAGCGTGTTTCTATTTTAGGAACTTTGCACTTGCTTTTCCATCTATCTAGCATCTATTCTTCCTCCACATTGTCAGGTGACTGACTCCCTCACTTCATTCAGGTCTCTGCTCAAATATCACCTAAGTTCACTATCCTCGTTATGCTGATTCTCCATAAAATAGCATCCCTATACCCCATCCTCTTAATCCTGTTCATTTTTCCTCAGACACATCTTTCTTTCTTTCTTTCTTTCCTGCCTGTCACTCCCCAATAGAATGTGAACTTCATGAGAACGGAGTTCAGTTACATCCCCAGTGCCTACAACAGGGCCTAGGACATGCTAAGTGCTCAATACATGTTTTTTGAATGAGTGAGTGAATGGATTTAGGTTAAGTGAAGGCTCCTAAAAGAGAATTTCAGATGTGGTTATATCTCCAGTCATTGAAG